ACATATATACTTTATCCACATCAGTTTCCATGGTAATATTCTCATTGTTCATATACTCGTGTCTGTCTGCAATATATAAGCTGAAAATATAAAAGCACTGCAATGTGCAAGAGGAACACTATGCACACAGTGAAGTGACTAAACGTGTAAAGTTAAGTGAGGATAAAACACAAGATAATCGTGACTTACGGGGCATTTGAAGGGTCGCTCCGAGGAGTGCACCTGTCTGACGTGACTATTGAGGTGGTCGGGCCTTGGGAGCAGAGAAAGAACAGAGAAACACGTCAGAGCAGGAAATTCTTCACATGCTGCGAGTGTGTCGGGAACATTCGTTCTGCTGCATTACCTGGAGAAAGCCTTTCCACAGTGCGGGCAAATGTAGGGTTTCTCCACGCCGCCCTGGTGGGAGCGCACGTGGTGGCTCATGCGGTCCTTCCTCTTGAAGCGCTGCTGGCAGATGGGACAGGAGAACGGCTTCTCGTCTGAGTGGGACAGACGGTGACGGTTGAGATGGTAGACGTCTCTGAAGGCCTTCCCGCACGTCTCGCAGGCGTGGTTCTTCCTCACGGGGTTGGGGTTGGGGTTCGTGGGCCGCTGAGGCAAAGCAGACAAGATAAGCACACTACAGAGTTCAGACATTAAGCTTTTCGCCGCTGCACTGTGAAAAGAAATGCGTTCATTGTTGGCTGCCCTGTTTCTTATGTGGAAACCATGCAAGATGCACGCTGAGATTTTGCCAATTAAGTGTGGGTTGTGCAAAGTTTTCACTATTTGTGCAAAACATTTAGCCACTTTCACACTGTTTGCGTTACAGAGGACATGCAGGGGAGCATGGGGGAGGCTTCCAAGCACAGTGTTTCTCAAACTGAGGGACCAGTGCCAAACACTGGGATGGAATTTACTGGTCCCTTAACGGATTTCTGTTCCTGGGCTTTATGGAAAATGTGAGAAACTGGGGAATTTGAATCAAATACAAAGCAGGTGACACATGGGCAGCTGCTCGCGGGGAGAAGACGTCTTAACCATCCCTCCGGTCAGGCAGCTTAAGAAACAACATGCTTGAAGGTTCGGGGTTGACGACAGCCATCTCCACAAGGCCCTGACCCACCTGTACTGCCGCCCCTGTGGCCATGACGACAGCAGCAGGAGGCGGAGCATGAGGGTTAACACTAGCCATTACGTTTGGCATGGCCACCCCTTCACAATCCTGACCACCCAGGGGAGGCTGCTGAACGCCCGCCAGCACACCGGGAGGGGCGAGAGGGGGAGGCGCGGAGAGGTGCAGCAGGGAGAGGGGAACATGGGGCCTCTCCGCCCTCCCTCCGGCCCCCACCGCCATTGCCGACGGGTCCGCCGCCGCCGCCACCACCTGGCTGGCAGCTCTCTCCTTTGCTCCCTCCGCCTGCTCTCTGGCCCTGTCCTTCATGCGTACCCCAGTGTGGACCGACTGGTGCCGCCGCAGGTTGTAGTTGTTCTTGAACTGCTTGTTGCAGATGGCACAGATGTGTTGCACGCGAGCTGGCCGAGACACAGGCTTCACTGGAGCCGAGGGAGGCGTGAGGAAAGACAGATGATGGAAAAAAGAAAGAAAGAAAGATGTTAACTTTTAATGCTTTATATGATCCTTAAAGGCATCCTGCAGGAAAACAGATACATACAGAGTATGTGGCCGGTCTAAATATAAACCTCTGGAAGGTCAA